AGGATTTCAGGTTTGGGGCTTAGGATTGAGTTTACAACATGGGCTTCTCAGGATGTCGGGGCTTTAGGGTTTACCTGGTGGTGCTGGGGCGCGTGGGTGCAGAGTCCACACAATTCCCCTCGTCGAAGTGCCCTGAGCACAAACAGTGATGCGTTGAACTATGTCGTTGCCGAGATAGATCTCTCAAAAGCGCAGATATCTGTTGCGACGCAGAAGGTCGGCAAGGCCATCTGAACACCAGCCCTGGGCGATGCATGCCTTCCTTAGTCCTTACCTACCTTACTCTACCGTTTCGCCAGAAACCTCCCAAACCCCCCCCCCCCTTCACCCCTCTTCCGTGCAATCTTACCAACAACGGCCCGCAACACGGCCAGGAAAAATATGAGTTGAAGTCTTCGTCGGCGTATGCAGGTGCATGCAAGACTTGTTGCAGAGATTACTGTGGCTTTGTGCATGCGAGTCGGCCTCTGTGTAGTTACCTGACTCGACGAAGCTGGACAAAACCGATGGCACTGTATGGCCAACCCCAGCTTCTGCCCATCCTCTTCTTCGTCCAGCTCTGTGGTGTCACCACCTCGGTGCACTTTGTGGGACTGCGGGCGCAAGGGGTCCGCATGTGAGTTTTCCGGGCTGCGACACCCCGAGGCCCCCATGCCACAGTCTCACTTGCAGGCTTTATGCACTCACACGTCATCGCAACTGTGCCTATGCCAGCCATACATCAACTGGCTCTGGCTGGGTCGTACGTACAAGTGTAACTACAAGTACTTAGCACTGGGTGCTTCATGAATGAGTGAATGAAGCTCCGAACAGACCAAACCACGGCCCATGAACTTCGCCTCGGGACAGATCAAGGCAACGGCCCAATGTCTCAGGCCCGTTTCATAAGGCAATAAGAACGCAAACAATGATGATATGCAAAACTAGTAGACATGACAGAGGCAACAGTAAATAAGTAGTTACAACGAAATGGGGCTATACCTACAGTCTTCCGAATGCACCAGAGCAAAGCGGCACCAACCCTCAGAGCCGTATAGGGCCCATGAGGCCCAGGCTACCTCGACTCTCTCGTGGTGCCTGACCAACTTACTCAAAGCCTCTACGGCGACGAAGACACAAAGGACAATCGGTCCAGGCAGCATGAGAACAAGGCCACACATTAATTGGCTTTCCTGCTACAAGTACGTAAGCTTGGCTAACGTGCTGTGCACAGCAGCTGCGGCGCTCGAACTGCGCGCTGGCTTGATACAAGGTGCTGCCGCAGGCTTCTTCTTCTGTATCCCTGCAGGTGGCCTCAGCACTCGCCGTGGATGTCCGCCCGCGTGCCTTTGTGTTGCCTGGTCATGGTTTTGCGAATCCCTAAACTTGATCCTTAGGTCCTCTTAAATTCCATCATCCCGACATCGGTATGTTCAAAGCGCCAAGCTTCTTCTGATTCCGACCTCACCCTCGAGCCTCAAGACTCAAAAAGCCTGCCGTGATTTCCACAAGCTTGGAGCAGGGCACACGATGCAAGATGTGAGCTACCCACTTGCTCTGATGGGGCCTTGATGCATGGGGCCTTCAAGCTTCTCAAGACTCCCGACACGCATGTCATAGAAGCATTGGCTGATCAACGCAAGGTGCCCCGAAGAACTCAAAGAAAAAACCCGAACCCCAAAGCGCCATGTACCCGTACAACAGACGATGAAAGGGAGTTTGTCGAGTCTTCCGGGGCTTTGGCGAGGCGACGCTGCGGCGGGCGAGAGCTGTGGCAAAGGTGCCGCAGGCGCCGGTGCTGTGGCTGCGGTCGAGGCCGTGGAGCCCGCGGCAGGCAGCACAGATGCCGAAGGCATTGAAACTTCCACGGCCTCCAAGACAAGGCTTCCAGGGCCGTTTTGAAGTTCGAGTCTCCGGCCTCCTCAGGTGCGGCTGCGGCCGCTGTCGCAGCTGGCTCCTTTGCGACACGTTGACCCAGCGGACATCTTTCGAAGGGCTCTTTACGCAGGCTGGCCGGGGCTTCGGCCTGTGCCGGCGAGACCGGACTCCGTGGAAGTTCCGCTGCTTCCGGAGGCTTCTCGGTCTCGGCTCTCTGCTCCATCTGCTTCCTGTAGGCAGATCTACGGGGGGACTTTGGGTGTGTGGCCTGCTTAGAAAAGCGCAAGTGCTCACAGCTAGGAGATCTCCAAATCGCCAAGATGCCGGTTGCAGTATCCCGTAATAACTCGTGTCAGATCTCAGGGTCGTGACGGGAAGAACTATGATTCGTTTTGTTGCTGGGTATACATCTATGATTGTATACATATAAACACACAGAGATATACATATGTATATATATATATACATATATATATATATATACATATATATATAATATGTATTATATGTATATCTACATATAAAACCTGTATTTACACACACACACACATGCGCGCATGTCTCATGTGCAGGCAACGCCACCTAGTCAGTATGCTGAAACTAAAGTGACATGTCCGAGTTTACGATGCGTTCGACTTGAAAAACACGTTCCTCCGGGTCTCCACGTCCATACACCACTCCGGCACGCGCGTGACGGCAGCCTGGCCAGGGATGTGATGTCAGCTGAGCAGAGCTTCGAAAGGGCCAACCCATCCTTGCTCAGGGGAGGCCATGCCCATGCTTTGTTGCACGCCATACACTGTGCACACTTTCCATGGTGCTGCATTGCGGACGACTTGCTACGGAACCTTCTTGCAAACTCAGAGCATTGTCTGGTATGCAGAAAGCCGAGCACGCAAACTTACGTAAGCTGCAGTGGCCTTCCTGACGGGAGTTGTACCTCAGTCAGATAAAGAAAGCCGATGTGCTGCAGCGGCAGTGTTGAAGGGAATGTTCCCTCAATCAGGCCTTCCTGATGGGATTTTACCTCAATCAGGAAGAAGGAGCAAAATGTTCTTCGCGCTAATGCAAAGACCCAGCTCAACGATGCAGTCTACAGGTCCTGGTGGCCCTTGACTTCCTGCATGAAGTGCACAGCATCGCTTTCCGACTCATGGCGTGCCGGCTCGGCGTCCGTGCCAACGGCAGCCACCGTTCCCTGGCTCTGCCCATAATAATAACTGTTCCGGCGAAAGCGCGGGAAAAAGCGCCGGAACGGTTTCCAGGACAACCATTTCCTCAGCAGTCGCAGGTGTAGAGCACGGAAGGTCTTGATCCCAAAGGCTCCAATGATAAACCAGACCAGACCACAGAAGGAAAGGCAAAGTCAGCCTAAATTATCCCAAATCCCTAGTCCAACTTTCTGGAGCCTACTGTCAGAAGCACCCCGAAAAGGAAAAGTGAAAAGGAGGCAAGCTTCTTGCTGCATTAAAAATCCATGACGTCCGTGGTGTTCACCACCTGCACGCCGTCGAGCCCGGCAAATGCCTCAAGGCGACGGGAATCTTCCACTGGCGGTTCAATGGCCTTCTCGAGGGCACATCTTCGTTGGTGAGATGAATCTGCGGGTGTTCTACCACGAGTGTCTTTGAAGAGCAAGCCAAAGTTCAGAAACTCTAACGCTTTCCGCGCTTACCCGTAGCAACCCGGAGAAGTTTACCTTTTAGCGATCAGCGTCACTTTGCCCCTGTCTTCCAGACATCAACCCGACCCTGAGCTCTTTTCAAGGCCCTTGAAGCGGCACCGGCATCCTGCCCGGCCCGCCGTGTGCCTCCAAGGCAGCTGCCTCCGTTTGGGGAGAGATGCCAGCTGTCGCATCGCCCACCACTACGACCTCACGATCGGCAGTGCTTAGGCGGCTTGAATGGGCTTCCAGGCTTCCTCCCTGCCTTCCTTTGAGTGGCCGTCTAAGGTGTCAGGGTCAAGGCTCTCGCGCTGCATGTGGGTGTTGGGGCTGGGGGGCTTGAGATCCACTTACAAGTAGTGGGTGAAAGATCGTGGACGTCGGAAACCCATGACATGATTGCCTTGTATCCGCGCGTGACGGCATCGCGGACCGTGTAGTCCACAACGACATCCGTGGCGATGCCGGCGATGAAAAGCGTCTCGATCCCCTTCCCCTGGAGTATGTCATCCAGGGGCGTCTGCAAGTTGTTGGTGTTGTCCGCAAAGGCACTGTAGGCGTCCACGAACTTGTTGCTTCCTTTCTGGACTAGCTCCGATGGTATGTCCAACTCCAGGTCGCTGTCCCCGTCAAACTCACAGTGATCCGGCCACATCCGCTGTGTTGTGTTGAAGCATTGCGCTGGAGTTGCATTGCAGATGGTGCATGCCGGATTCCCTGTGATGATGCTGTCGCTGGCGTTGTACATGAAGCCGTTGCCGTCTCCGGGGCAAAGAACCTCTGAGCAGTTGAACTCCGAGGGGTTCAGGAAGTAGCTGGGGCAGCAAGAAGCATCCTGGATGTTCCCGTCTGCGGCCTCCACACACGTGATGGGCAACTCACCCTTTCCTAAGGTCAGGTCAGCAAAGGGAGGGAGACCACCATGGACGCTTGCGAAGGAGATGTGTCCTGGCGGATGAAAGTCCTGGGACCTCACAACCAAGTCGAAGAGACATGCTTTGTCGTCGTAGATCTGCTGGATCTACTCCAAAATCTTGTCAGAGCCGCTGACTCCCAGGGAACCATTGGGCAAGAAGCAATCCTGCACATCCACGATGAGAAACGCGCTCTTGCCCTTGCCACCAACATTGACAGCAGAGGCGGCTCCAACAAGCATCGCCCCCAAGGGCAGCAGCGCAAACATGGCGACTACTGAAGACAGATCGTAAGAGAATCTGGAACTTGGCCTTGCAAAGTCCGGCTGGCGCAGCAGATTCAAGCATGTAGCTTTCTCTATACCTGTCACATTTCCTGTGGGCTTGCCCTTGTTCAGAAGCGCATCTTCCCGATCTATCATTACGAGTTGCTTTGTGCATGCCTTCCAAGCGTGTGTCACCAAAAACATGCACACACGTTAGCAATTACCGTGCTAGTGGCAATCCTGCCCCCACATCAAAACTCTCACGAGTCACCCAGCAGCGTTGCGAAAGCCGGCGGGGTCTGAGGTCCGGACAGCAGAGACGACGAGGTGGACCTCGAGACTGCAGAGGACAACGACGCGCCATTCAGCATCGCCCGAGAACAGGCAGAACTTCAGCAAGAGGAACGTTGACCACCACCCCAAGCAAGGCAAACTCTTGATGCACCTCCGAAATCCCAGATCTCTGACGATGGGCAGGTCTGAGGCACCTTCATATTTCTTTCAGGTTGCCTCTAGCCAATCTGAGGCGGGCACATGTCCAGCTCCGTCGCCTAGACTTGGTGAAACTAAGGTCTTGAAGAAGTTAGTGGCTCGCACAGGCTACGATGCTGTACAAAAGCCGAAGCTACCTACCATATCCAGATCCGTCGGGGTTTGGGATGCGGGCTCCAGCTCTTAAGTTTGTCTGGGGTTCGGCTCGGAGACGCCCATCTGCCACCTTATAAGCACCTAGATCTCAGCCTTCATCCGAAACTCAATTGGCGCCAGAAGCCTCGCAGAGCCCCAAGGCCAGAGCCAGAGTGTCCCTGCCCTACCCGACCCTCTGGCTGCCGCACCGTCATCTGCTCGGGACGCTCCTTGTAGACGCACCCAGGTGTGTGCCCGGATCTGTCGCAGCGGGACAGCACTCAACGATGTTGGCTCGTGACCTTTCTAGAAGTACAAGCCTTAACGAGACTTCGAGCACAGGATTGGACGACTTCAGCCGCACACAGCGCAGGATGCATGGATCAACAGCGTTACAGACACACAGACACACAAACACACACACCCACACACACCTGCACACACACACACACGTAAATCGAGTTCAGAGCTATTTTTTAAAGAGAAACCCACTAGTAGTCTTCCCGGGCTGCATCTTACAGGGGCCTGAACCTCTACCGTCACGATGGATTGGAACAAGCTGGAATGAGCGGTAAAGTCTTGGTGCACTCCAGGGCCTCAACTTTGAACTGCTGAAAGTCCGATTTCCAACCGCCTGATTAGCTCGCAAGCGCAACCGAAACCTGCTCACGCGGAAGAACCCCAAAACTGCCAAACTCAGATACCAAACTCTGGAGATGCCTGCGGGAAGAGCCAGGCCGCTGAAGCCTGGGGCTGTGAGGCCTCAGAAGGATCAGAAGACAGACAGGCGTAAATACATGCACACATGCATGCCTGCATACATGCGTAAAAAACATACATATACATATACAGCATATCATAGCAACACAAAGCATAACGTGAAATAACTCGAGCACAACATAAACACATACAAACATATGTGCATGAAAGCTTGTTTCAGCCCTTTCAGGCGCTGATGTCGAGTACCCACACCCTGCCCCGTCCCCTGGAAGAAAACTTGACTTCAGGAAAGCTCGAAGTCGCAACTCTGCCAGTGTGAGCACTTCCGGAGTCCCTGGCCACGGACAAGACTCAAGACTCCCGAAGACCCACGCTTTCCGAGAGGCCAAAGCCAAAATCCCGCAAGCAAGCCTTCGGCAAAGTTAGGCCCCGGCGTCAACGCCTCGTTGGGGGCCAGGCTATGGTTCGGGGAGATTTGATTCGCAGTAGAAGCTCGCGTCTCCGAACGCCCCCATCATGGAATTGTGTGGTGGTCGAGGAGTGCAGGGAAGCGGACATCGCAGGGCTTCCCCGGCTGCAAGGTTGGGGGGTCAGGTGCTGCGACTCGGCAAAAGGTGGAGGAATCATTCACCGGTTCAGGGCTTCGTGGACATTAGAAAGTACCAACCTGTGCTTCTGCAAGCAGGATTTCGGGGGCCGATTGCAGCCGTCCTCCTATCGAAGCTAAACTGCTTCTAACACCCATGGCGAACGTGGAAGCCTCCGGGCAGCCGCACTGGAACGTGCTTGCAGCCAGGTGCAGTGACCGACTCGGAAATCCCGAGCTCGATACAACAACTCAATTCCTGATCGAAGAGGTTGCTATGCCCACAGCCGCTACATTCCCAAGAAACCATCTTCTCGTGCGTCAGTTCTTCCGGGTTTCCACGCGGAGGCTGTCCGTGGAACCATCGCTGACCAGCAACTGCCGCGTATGAGCGTCCACCTCCAGCACCTGCTGCTCGCTGGGAGTCTTTGGCCTCAGCCCTTAGCCCATGGCTCGCAAAGGGGTTCTGAATTCGGCCACGAACCCTCTGCACTGTCAGGCCCAGCTTTGGTGGGGTCCCTGGCCCCCGAGCTTCTCGAACAACAACCCTCAAGCTCTCTGGGCCCTTTAATCCTGAGCCAACCTGGACCACGAGGTCTCGCTGCCCTCCTCTGCCCAGAAGCTCACGCGCCGTGACAAGGTACCTTTCGTCCGTCTTGTGGGCAGAAGATTCCGGAAGCGTGTTGCCAGATGCCGGCTTTTTACTCTTCTGGTTCAAGTTAATTGGAACCACGAGGGCCCGTGACCGATAAAGAAAAGGGAACTGATGCTTCATTGCCATGTCACTGCCTGAGTACTCCTGTCCCCTTGCTGCACGACCCCCTCGATCCTTCCAAGCCCATATGCCCGGAGGCCTCGAAAACTGACAGCTGCACCTAGACTCCTAAACTTCCTACACAAACCTCACTGACAGAATTATCAGTGTCCCGAGCCTCCTGAAACTCGGAAGCTTTGCACTCCCCCCATCTTTCTCTAAATTGAAGCGTGACATGTCAGGCTTCAGCTTTGCATCAGATGCTTGTAAGACACGGCATCACTAGGCTGAACGCGAAGCCTGAACAGGGTTTACCCGAGGCACAAGAGGGAGAGCATACGCACATCAGCACAAAGAGCCCGGCCCAGACATAGTTTCGTGCTTGAGGCGTCCCTGGATCCACGCCTGCTCAGCACAGCAAACCCTAGCAGCCCTAGCATGCTTTCGTGCCGAAGCTTCCTGTCAGGTTATTTCAATCACGGGCCGATCAGATGCCAGGATACTAAATCAAACTCTGCTGGAATCCAACTTCTGATTTGAATCCGGTACGAATCTGCGAGTACACAAATTCGGGCTGACAGTTCCCGCCCACGTGTCCTGCAAGGAGCGTGCACGGGCAAAGTCGGATTCCACGACCGTGTGCTTCTCACCTCCGATGGGTCCTCGAAAGCTCAAAACTCTGCTTGCTTGTAGGACTCTTGTGCGCACATCGAGGCTCTGACCGGAGATTGCACCTGCCATGGAACTGGCTTGGGCTTGTCCCCGGCGTTTTCGGCTTCAATTCTTCGTGGTTTCACGTGGAGCTTTGAGTGGTCAAGGGTTGCGGGCCCGGGTATGTAGCTCCAGGGCAGGAGTGCCAAACCCGAACGCCTGCAAAGCATGAACTAGTCGTCGGCGCCCTCCTAGCTTCAATTTCGGACTTCCCAAGCTTCAGGCTGAACCCGATGACCCAGAACTCTAAGCATCCTTCGAGACTGACGTCCATGCTTCGGATACAAGGCTTTCTGGTGGTTATGAAATTTGTGTAAGGCGTGCATGGAGCCTCAGGCAACCTGTCCACTGTCTATATGTAGGCTGTAACATTGAAACACTAGCGGATCTGGTTTCGGATTTACCGCTGCAGAAGCTTGACAGGGTTCTGCACAAGACCTGGAGAGGCAAAGGTCAGCAGAAAACGACCACCCCCAAACATCTGCCCGACAGTGGGATAGCTTTGACATCTCCGGTGCCAACCACCTTAGCCGTAGCCCTTCTTCACAACATCTGAAGCTCAAGACAGCGAGGAGGTCTTGACCGCCTCGGCAAAAGCATAAACCCACAAGCTGAAAGCCCAGCGCTACACAACCGCTTACGAAACCATGGCATGTAAAAGGAGTAGAAGCGTAGAAGTCTCAAGAGTGCGCCGGGATGGCGGCTCTGCATGGGGCCCTGGGCCTGCGGAGAAACAGATCATTTGCAGAAAGTCTCAGCTCAGAAGACGAATTGCCAATTCGTGTCAAGACACCAGAGAGAGCGCACAAGCACCTCTGGAGCTGCAGAGCCGAAAAACCCGTAATTCGAGATCCCTATACATCCTTCCTTTACGATAAACCGGCGATCCGCAAAGCCCTCGACCTAAACGACTGAGACTCTAAAGTCTAAGGAGTTCGGGGACTACGGCCTCGGTGTCCACGGACGTCGCGGGGCAGGGGAACGTGATGACGGAGGACATCCTAAGATTTTGAGGGTCCGCCCCGAAGGCACCGATCTGGGTGTAGAAGGCTTTTTCGGGTTCTAGAGTAAGGCGCTAAATAAGGGCTTTACAGGATTGAAGGTTTCAACAGGAGACCTCTTGTCTCGGCTTTCAATGTACTTAGTTGTACCTGGGCCTATCCGAATGACACACCTGCTTATCACCAAGTCCCCTCACATAAGCAGACACCGAAGCCTGAACAGCCCGGGGCGCTCGTACACACCCAAAGGCGCCAGTTGCAATTCCAGGCTCTCGCGATCCAGCACCGTCTCACGCGCTCGTCTCGACAGAGGCCCCGGCGATTGCTGCCGAATGTTGATGTAGCCTCAGTCAAGGTGCAAAGAACTGCATACTTAGGGCCTCTTCTGCAATCCACAAAACCAAACCTCTTGGATCTTCGAAGAATCACAACGTCGACGTCATCTTTGAAGGCTGCCAGCTGCTGTGCAAGTCAGAGCTGCCCAGACAAAACCGAGTTGAATACGGGGGTTGGGTGGAGCATCTTCTGCACTCTACGCATCGAGCTAGCACCACAGCAGCAACTGCAACGTGAGGAGCACACCCTGCCGAGGGGGAGCAGGGTTCAGGGTACTGGCTACAGTGGTTTCGACTGGCGTCTCCAGACTTTGGCAATAAGCTTCGAGGCCATTTACGCTCGAGTCATGAGCATTTCGAAAGACGGACTTCTACGTATAAGTACCACGATTAGAGTTTCGGATTAAGGATTCTTTAAAAGATTGAGAACCTGCAAACTTCCGGAAAGGAGTGTGAGCTCCCGGCGCGGCGGTTTCGAGCTGATTCGTGCACGGTGGACCTGAGTGGCTCAGTTTCCGCGCACGGTATTTCCTTCGCGGCACGGGCTCCCAAAGCCCCCGAGGGCGATGCGTAGCCTGGGGCCCAGACTCGAACCACATCGCCAACACTCAAGAAGGGAAGAGCCTCAAGGGCCTGGTGCAGTTCAGAGGCTTGGGATCTGGGGGCTGGGAAGGTCCAAAGTCCAAAGCCTTTAAACCTGCCCGTCGTTTCGGAAGCGTCTATGAGTCATAAAGTCCAACAGGCTTTTCGGCATATATATATATATATATATATATGATCTCATATATACACTTCATAGTCAAGGTCATCGCTGGCGCGTTCCAGACCAGACCCCAAAAACTTTGGATCCGAGGGCTGCGCACCCCAGACTCGAAACTGACTCTCTTGAAGCACCGTGTTCTAGTGGCCTACCTGCTAGGAGTCATAAACCCAGAAGCCCTGAGGCCCTCGCGATCAGCTCCAAGTCCCCTACATAGTCCCCTTCAATGACTGAGGTTCCGGCATTCCCTTTCAAGGCGACCCTGGCCGAAGGTCGCTGGCGACTCCCGGGATTCCCGAAGGGGAGGGGGGTTTTTTCCCTCAGGGAGAGAAGTGCACTGTAGACATACGCGCAGCAAGCAGAGATAAGGGCACCCCGTTTCTGGCTAGCCTTAGTAGAGTTATAGTAGAGAACCCTGGCTGCCTAAACGAAATAATAAGGGCACTTCTGAAGAAACAGCAAGCACTCTGAGCTCAACAACCTTCACCCCAACTGAGTGGGATGCGCGATGGTATACAGGGGGAACTCCTGGCTCAGAGACCTGAAGAGCAGTTTCATGGCCACCACATGACCAGCACGTAGCAGTACTGTAGCAGTGCAGACATCAGACCTCTGCTGTGTGCATGTATGCCTCATTATGCCTCCACAGCCGCACGAGGATGTACCGCAGTTTTGGATCTGTTCAACATCCTCTTACGAAGCCCCTTTGTAGTGTTCTCTGTGACTCGAAGTCTGGGCAGAACCGACAAAACTGGAACATCCCGTGCAGATCCGATGCATCAGATCTCGAGGCTGGGAGGCCAAATCCAATGCCATGGAGAGCTCGAAAGTCCTCGACCGAAGGTCAACCCAGCAAGGCATCGCAGCTCTTGGTGCTGAGTGCGCGACCAGTCGGCGCACTTCATTGAGTCGAAGGATCTGTGATGGATTGGCAACCGGAGAGTGAAACTGGCTCCAACTTTCATGTCTGGCTCTAGGAGTTCGCAAGCCGGATCTCCGACGTGCAAGACCACCGCATGCAAGCTTTATAAGGTCGAGTGCAGACTCGTGCCATGGGCTTAGAGGCTTAGAGGCTCCGCCCTGGGTATCTTGGAGCCGCACGTATCCACGACCATGAAGTTCTGCCGGGCCCAGCCGTCCTTCACCGAGGGCCCGGGCCTAGGAATGCGGGGAACAAGGCTACCTAGTCCTCGCCCTCACATGGTTGGTGACGTTTTCTCATGTTTCCTCGCTGACAGACTTAGATTGGAGTTCAGCTTAGACTGCTTTCGTACTTTCCATCCAAGGCATTCCAAGGCCACCCTGTGTCGCTTCGTGTAGCAGCTGGTTGCGATGAGGCAGGGCTGCGCGGGACGAATTTGGTGGTGGGGGCCTCGCGATCGTGTCTCATCCCAAACGACAAGTGGAGACCTAAGGATCGAAGTCTTGTGCAGCTTGTGGGCACTTTTGTCGAGTGTCCTGACAAATCGACCAGGCACTCTAAGGAACGCCACAGTCGAAACAAACACACGCATCCTGTCTGCTCCATCCCCTTGGACATGCAGTAGCATCCTGCCTGAAGCACGGAAATTCTGAAGCCCCGCCGAACCGCCGAACCCCCCCAATCACACATTCGACACGTCCGGGGGTGCCGGCTTGGAGTTCTCCCAAACGACTGCCCAGAGGTTTGCCTCAAAAGCTCAGGACTGAAGTATTGCTGGCTGGGTCGTGGATGTTGACGCGGACAGACGTTTTCCTTGTAATTCTGGCTCAGCCATGAACCACAACTTTCTGGCTCTAGGCTTTGCAAGTTTCTCATTAGAACGTCTGGCCCAAGGTTCCAATGAGACACACATTATACAAGGGGGTGGCATAGGGGGTGGTGTGTAAGAGCTTCTGTAACTCATAATGGTTCCTGTGCGGGTCAGCGTGGGGTGGAGACTGGAGTGTGCGAGGCCCCCACATCTGCCCCATCGCGCAGAGTGCAGAGCCAGCGATGGTAGCGGTACCTCCGACAGAAAAAGCACACGCAGCCCAGACTCCAAAGCTTTGTCTAGCATGCTCGGCGCAGATGCCTCAAAAAAAGGACCTCCGCAAAGTTGGCATCAGTGAAACCTCGTCCCTGAAGTTCGAAGGCTGCCAACCAAATGAACTTCGGAGTTGTAAGCATCCCAAGAATGCCAAGGGCACATTCCATCCACCTGTCCATGCCGCTTTGGGGCTTAAAGCTTGGGGGCCCATGGAACCTAGGAGTCACAGAGCCGTTGAAGCCCAGGGCCTAGAGAGGGTCTGAATCTAAAAGGCTCAGATGAAAAATCCCGGAGAGAGAGGGAGAGGGTCCGAAGGTCCGACTTTTTCGGGCAACCATCTCGCAACCAAGTTGGGCGCAACTTCTTCGGGCTCTTGCGATTGGATCTTGCGGGTTGCGAGGCCGAAAGATAATTAGCCATACCATCCAAAGGGACGAACCATTGCTTTCCGGCATTCTCACGTGCAGATTAGGACTCAGGACAGATGCCACTCAGAAGAACGAGAATATCGCGCGATTAGGGTGATTGGGGAGTCTTGCTGAAACAGAGCATCGGGCGGCACTGCTCAGGGGAGCCGCATCTTTTCTTTTGCAGGGAAGTCTGGAAGCAGTTGTCGTCGTCATGCAGTCTCGCATACGGCCCTGGCTCAAAGAACTTCAGTTCGCAAGAGGTCGTAAGATACCGTTCCAAAGGAGCGCAGGAAAGAACTGCAAGCGACAGCCACGATGACAGCCTGTGGATGTCTCCATGGCAGGCTTGAGCGAACACGTCTAGCAGTGCCAGCTCGAATCCCTAACAGAAGACAACTGGGACCTCCCCTGCTGGCCGTGACAGCCCGGACATCAGCTCAAGGTTGAAGGTATCCCGGGGTGGTTCCAGTTGTCGTGAGCTCTAATCCGGATCTGCCATCTGTACAGATCAAACGCGTTTTTGCATTCAAGTCGGAAGACTTAAATCAGCATGTCCACGATTGTGTTATGATGAGGATCCACGTGTGAGATGCTGCCCCATGACATCCTAGCCCTAAACCGTGAACATCAAGTTAGCCCTAGACAAGTAGCTGCAGCATACGAGGAAGGATGCGGCCGGACCTTTGAGGATTGGAAAAGCTCCATCCTGGCTTTTTCACAAGGCGGGGCGGCGCCCACAGCCCTGCAGAGCCATCAGTGGCCCTTTTTATGCTGCCTCAGCGGAAGCTTTGAAGAAGGTTCGGCAATTCGGGGCTCAGGGCTTCAGAACCGATCCAACAGCGGCAGGGCAGTCAACAAAGTTAACGAAAGGGGTCAACACGAACATACATCCAACACCGTGGCCTGAGGTCACATTCCTTGCTACACCTCATGGTGACAGCTTGGCAAGGCTTGTAAAGCAGACCCCAGCAAACCAGCCGAGAAGCACGATGAATTGCTCCATCACCCTCAGCTGCTAAGGAATTCATCACAGTCACAGTCGAAGATCAGAGCGTAAGAACACCTGCATCAACAGCCTTGGGTCAAGACTGACCGCTATTAAGGGCCTTCCTTCGTTCCAGCCGAGAGACTCATGCTGGGTGCCTGGGCCAGGCTCGAAAGTTGGAGCTGGGACCGATGGCAACACAGAAACCCTAAGACAAAGGCATAAGATCCTTGAAAGGGCCCCTGAATCACTGAAAGGGGACCCGAGGCTTTGAGAATCCGGAAGCAACTCTCGAAGCTCCGAAGGTGACGGCAATGCCATCAGCCTCCAATCCAACCCTCTCAGGGGGTGGCCTGTGCCCTCGCTGTCCAGCAGCTTCCTGGGCCAAGGTCACCCGAGGAACGGGAACTGCTCTGAGCAGAGCTCCAAACGTGGCATGACTTTGCTGCGCTCCCTGCTGCCTAGCCTATTCTGGAAATGAAACAACAGGACAGCCTGCAATTCCTGTATGACGCGAGCACCTAGACCGAAGCCCAGTGGCTTGATCCACTTGCCCCCTTCGGCAGGGGTGAGGTCCTTCTTCGTGCCGTCCTTTAACAATTTCAGGCTTCTTGGCCCATCAGCCGTTCAAGGAGGAGGCGCCAGGATGACCCAGAGCCCAAGACAGGGCTCCAGAGCACCTTCCTCAGCTGGTTCTCCATGAGAATCCTTTCCGTGAGTCTTCAAGTACCCCAGAAGCACTCCTTGTAGGGCCCCTTCTCCACATCGGCCCACCTCGCTTCCAGGCAGTCTTGTTCAAAAAAATGGCTTAGTAAACGATGCTTTTTTTATTGTTCGCTCCCCGTTCTTCCGGCTGTTCTGGGCTCCCCAAATTAGGGCTCATAGGGTTTAGGGTTTAGGGCACCTCAAATCCGAAACCAAACACTTCTCTTGTCAATTTGTCAAGTTGCATGTCCGCCCTGCTGTTGGTACCCCCGAAGCCAAACGAAGACACGCCGCAGCACATGGACTCGGCGACAGCGGGTCGAGCTTGGGGCGGGTTGCGCGCGGCGGGCTTGCCCCCTACACCCAGCGGTTTCATGTTTGGGGCTTGAGATTCAGGATTCGAGGGCTATAAGATCTTTAAGATTTTAAGCTCTTGGGGTTTGGGATTTCCTGCAGCTCCCTGGTCCTCAAGGTCGGAATCTGGGGGGCTTCTGCGGTCCGAGAACTGAGGGACGAGACTTCCGGGTTTCGGGGTTGCTTAGGGTTTTAGGAGTTTTGGTTCCGGGTTGTTGGCTTTTCCGGGGGCTTGTGGCTTAAATAAGTCTTATAGGGGACCTCCCGGGGCCGCCTCAACCCTCCAAAAAATTCAAAGTCGAAAGCAAAGCATTCAATCTCCTGACTGCCAGGCAAGGCTCTCGTTGAAATGAGCAGGTGAGCTCCTTGGCAGTCACACCGAGCGAGGGCTTCTTGGGATTTGTGCGACGGGGAGCTGGGTGCAATTGGACTCTGTTGTTTCGTAGAATGCCTTGACTAGGGCTCTTGGCCGCGAGGTGCCCGACTAAGAAAACGGCCTTTTCACTTGGGCTCAAGCGCTTCGGCATATGCGTGTATGAGTGAGCTCAGGGAGTCAGACAACTGTACAAATCTTCACTCCGCTCACCGTTCCTGACTGAACATTGACAACAATCAACCACAGCAGTCACTGCAAGCTTTGATGATTTTCACACCGTTATTGGTACGGATATGGGGACAATTACGTCTGCTGTGGAAGACCTTGCCTGTTGCGATCGTCGTGAACACTTCATTGGGAGTAGCTGTTCTGGCACGTACTGCCTCAAGCTCTCGAGTCAAATGCTGGATTGTGTTCCAGCGATTGTCTGAAAGGGCGCGAGCGGCATGGAGTTTCTTCCATTGGTCTTCACATAAAATTCTGTAGCGTTCGAGCTCCGCTCGTAGTGCTACCAGATCTGAGTCCCCGATGTGAGACTCGTCCACGTCCATGTCGACGTTTTCATCTGGTTCCACATCCATGCTCGTGGGTGTGGTCGTCGTAGTAGAGGATGTGTTGGAGCCGTGGGAATGAAAGAGATGACGCCACCAGAGCCGAAAGGATTGGGTCACCACGCGCTCGGCTGTGATGATGATGACAATCATGGTCACCAGCCATGACCACTCATCCCAGGAGGAAGTCGTTGAAGATGATGTCGGAGTGGATGAGGTCGTTGTAGAGGCCTTGGCCTTTGTCACCAGTGTGCCAAACACCAGCGCAGTCCACAGAAACCGCGTCTTTGTCGTGGACCAGTATGATGCTGCCGCCAGCGTGGCCACCTCCTTGATCAGCTGCTTGTCGCTGAGGTCGAAGTGCTGCTCCTCGACGTTGGCAAGTCGAGGTAGTGACCGCATGGTGAGCTTGTGCTCGCCCTGGTTGTAGAAATCCACGACTCCTGCGCTAAGGAGTTTCATCATCGGTGGTGCCAACATGGATTTTGTCAGAGCATCAGCCGTCATAGACTCTGTCGGACACAGAATCATCCATCGAAGTCGGCCCAACATGCGAGCTTCTCGAAAGGCTAGCACGTAGAGGCGTTGGTTCTTGTCCTGAGGGACCGACTTGTCGCCACTCGCCAGTTCGAAGAAGTCGCGACAGTCTGTCATGCTGTCGACTGGTAGTCGAGGTATGCCTTGCTCCTGTGCAGCAATCAGCATCTGGAGCGTGGGCCGGCCCGGAAGGTGCATCAGCTCGGCCAGCCGGACTGCCACCAGAGTGCTGGCTTCCAAGCCTGACACTGCCGCCAAAGTCTCCGCATGGGACGTGGAGTAACTGATGCGCTTTGCTTTTGCGCCGTGGGCCCATAAAATGTGAGCCCGGCCGCCAAGGAGGTGCGTCTGCCCGTCCGGCACGATGAGCTCTTCATCGCGGTTCATCTTCGCGAGCTTGTCCTCGCAGAGCAGAACCAAGATGCCCTCCTGTGCGTAGTTCCTCACGTTGCCGGCCGCGGAAGAGTCATGCACACAGCATAGACGAAGTGGTGGTCGAAGTGCCCGGAAATGTAGGCCCAGCTGCTGGCCATGTTCGGCCTGGGCTCTCTTCACCACATTGTTGGCTTGCCGGAGGTGCGAAATCTTAGCCTTGGTCACCTGTGACTGTAGCAAGCAGACATCCGAAATGAGGTCAAGCCTTGTGGCCGTGAGCCACAACAGTCCACCAAGGATGCTCCTGAAGGACGTGAGTTCCTCGGGTTTGAGAGCGTCCTCGTCCTTGCGGCCTGCCGCAATGGGCGCGGGCTTGAGCTTCTCGCAGAAGTCGTCTTGCGACATGAGGTAACCGTCGGGGGTGCGACTGTAGAGCACTCCGCAGTGAGTGAAGGGCAGTCGCTGACGTGTGACCTTTCCGAACTTCTGCACCAGAAGTTGATACTGCTCATCGAGCCACTTCTTCTTTCCGGCAGCCCCGCAGTCATCCACATGAGTCGTGACACCGGCTGAGTACTTGTCCTTGTCGTCCCTCCAGTAGAAGTAGTTCTCATCCATCAGCGAAGGTCGGCCACGTTGCTCCTCGAAATGAGTGTGCAAACACAACTGCCATGCCAAGGGGGCATCAGACAAACCGTACACTGGTTTGATGCACAGCAGCAGGTACTCGTGGACCTTCGTGATGTCGATGCGAAACTTCTTGTCGAAAGCCCCGAGGTGCCGCCACACATTGGCGGGAGCTATGATGGCGACGACTCGTACCGGTGTCCGGATTCCTCGAGCACGCAGTAGCTCTCGGACCTTTTCGAAGGACAGGC